GTGAAGAAATAAAAGACTAAATCATGCTTCCCAACCCCTCAAATATAAGATGGCAAAATGCATGCCAACAGAACTGGGAAAGAAGAAAATGTAAAGAGGGAAAGGAATAATGATAAAAAGGAAGATAAATAGGAATCACCCTCTTCATTAAATTGTTTCTTGAGCTCATCGTCAGGTAGAAATGTTTGTCAAGCATCTAACATATGCAAGGAAATAATAAGTCGAGGAATTAATAATCTATCACGAAAACAAAAAGTCCAGAACTTGCATCAAACTGTCAAAAGCGTTAATTTTTCATTGTTAATCGGTTCAACAATGTTGTAGGGTGTAACTTACAACATATGTCCAACTTACAACAGAGTAGCACATCAATTAAAGTTCGGCACAAATAGAATATATGAATGAAGACTCCACTGTTGATGGATCAATAGCTCCTAACGCTGGAACGTATTCTGTGAGGTGACAGAGACAAAGACATGTTGAGAACTAATGAGTCGGTTTGGGAAGAAAAATTAATTATCGTAACTTTCTGCTGTAAGTTTGAATGTATAATATTACAACTATTATCTATCCCGTAGCCCCATGCTCCACTAATTCAAAAAAATCATTTAATGAGATTCGATGATCCATGCTCCATGTTTCTGGCTCATGCTCCACCTGGACCACCTGCCCATCTCGAATGTAAAGTTTGATTTTTTTAAGATACTACTATACACTTTTGTTCATCTCGAATGTAAAGTTTGCCCATGCTCCACCTTGCCCATACCTTGCCCATAACCGAGGAGCACATAAAATAAAGGAAGTGGGGCAGGATATTATGGGGTAAAAAAATATTAAGTAATATTTAAGGGTTAATTCGATTAATTAATCGATTTTGAACCGAATAACCGTTAACCGAATTCTAAAAAAAATCTTAACCGTTAACAGATCGAACTAATTCGATGGCCGACCGAATTAATCGAACTAATTCAGTTTGGTCGGTTAACCGAATTAGTTCGAAAATTTGAACACCCCTAGTTATTTTCTTTAGGTAAATTTTCGCTAAGCGCTTGGAAATTATTATCATTTTTATTCTCTTGTGGAGTGCTGCTTTGATTTTTATTTGTTCCTCGTCGTCCTCTTTGCTTCATTTGGACTAACATCCAAGGTCCATACCTTTCTGTTTTATTGATTTTATGTTCAGAATTGTCTTCTTTGGGTTAAGTGCCATCTTGTTGTTCTCGAGAGTCCGAATTCTAAACTTCTTAATTTTCTATATCTTTCTGCACATTTTCAATGATTCTAATGGGGCAGTGATTGGTTTTATGTCCCACCATTTCGTAGTGGAAGCAAATATGATGGAGACATTCGTATTCGATATTCAGTGTCAAGTTTCCTACTCTTATCTTTGACAACAATGGTTTGTTTAACTCCACTTCAACGCAGATTCTTGCGAATCTTCCTCTTGTCGACCACGATGTACGGTAGTCAACTTTCAATGGGATGCCAACAAATTTCCCAATATTCACTAGGATTCCTTCATCGAAGTACTTTATTGGCAAGCGTAGGATATGAATCAGCTCCGATGTTGAGGATATGTTTTCCTTTTCAGCAACAAAGTTCGACTTCCAGTTTTGAATGGTAAGGTAATGGTCCATTATCTTCCAAGGTCTTTCCGTCAAGACCTAATCCTATTACTCATACTTTGAAATTTTATGGCATAAAATCAATTACTTAGATCAATGGAATCGAAGTCACTTTCCAGTCCCTACATGATAGTGACTCGGTTAATCAGGATTTTGTAGGCAATCGTTTTACCCTACAGTTCGATGTTTAGGGCCTTTCGCCAAGGTCTTCTTATTCTTTCATTTACCTCTGCATTTATCTTAATTGTCGGAATGACTCATCCTCATTCTCATTCTCCATCTCTTCCTCCGATTCATAATCTTCTTATTCAATTCTTGTCGAGCTATTGAATATTCCGATAAAGATTGGGGAATCTGCTACCGTATCTTTCCCGGATTTAGTTTTTTGTTTTTTAAAAAGATGAGAACAAACAGCAGAATGACTGTTTATTCTATTAGAATTAATTTGGGCCCGAGCCTCTTAAAAAACTTTCCTAACCCTAATTAAAGAAAAAAGAGTGTTCCTAATTCGATTTCCTTAATGATATAACTCATACATGACCTGTTCATAATTCCCGACCAAACTAATACAACACAACACACATCAGGAATCCAAAAGACTAAAGAAAATGAAATATACCTCCTTATCCCCATGATAGCCCCAAAAGAATTACAAACTCACAAGATTAACCACAATCATGCAACAGCTTAATGAACCACAAACCTGGAACAACAAATTAGACCAATAGCTCTACCCCTTAGATGCACTAAAACACACTTCATCGCCAACTCAGACACAAGAAGCAGTCCCTGTCCAATTCACATAAATCCAAAGCAGAAGAAAAAACACCATTTTTTGCAGTCACATCAATTTCATGATATCACCAATTGTACTCATACCACTTCACCCCTAATGAACTAACAAGAACAGGGATTTAAAACTTAGCTACCAAGGGATAATAACCATGGTACAACGCATGCATTATACAACACAGCTCATATCACTAACCACCGGGCAAGAACAAGCGACTAGCAGTTCACCCGACAAAAAAATCAGGCTCGACAGAAGAGCATACCTGGAAATTTGTGAACTGGACCAAGAGCAAAGCTTATCCATCAACCTTACACCAAATGGAAGGAGTAAAGTTGTTTAACCCCTCTTGGGCCAATGCGTTAGCAGCAGTCTTCCTCTCCCTATATTCAAACTTAACCTCCCACAAATAACGGACACAGTACTCTTTACACTTAGCCACCACAACAGCGACGTAATGCGAGGCCAAACTGGGGTTCTCAATCCACTGAACTGCCTTCAATGAATCCGTTTCGATGATCAAGACTCTCTTATCCGCCCATTTGGAAGATGAAAAAATCTGACAAGCTTCAACAATGGCAGCAAGTTCTGCTCCAATGACATTCGACACCCTAATTTATCGCGAAAAACGAATGAGCGTATCGCCCTTATTATCCCTTAAAATTCCACTGATACCGGCCTCACCTACGTTCCCTCTTACTGCTGCATCAACATTGAATTTTAGTTTGTCATTAGTTGGTGCTACCCATGACTCGAAACTAGATCTACTACAGCACTTCGGCCGAATTGAAACTAACGAAGGTGACCTAATGAAGGCACTGATGGAAATCACCGATTCTGGCCATAGACTGCTAGCCCAAACACCAATTCTCAACAGAACTACATCGAAAAACTGCTGAAATTCCGACTTCTTATTGTTGAAGATTGTATCATTACGTGCAAGCCAAATAGACCACGCTATTCCAAAAAAAAGCCAGCTTCCGTACAGGTCTAATTGATGGTTTGATAGGAGCATCTTCCCACATGATCAGCATACTTTTAAGGGTTAGTCCATGTTCTTTCTTTTGTTAACTCTTCCTCTTATGAATTTCGGATACGTTTATTTCTCTTTCCTGCTGTTTCGGTTGTTCCCCCGCTTGGGTAACCTCCATGACTGGCGGGTTCGCTTCTTGCATGAGCGTCCAGACGATAACAAAACAAGAAAGTTATAGGATAAAAAATTCGGAAGACAATCATTTCTAAGAATACAAAATCTTGAAAACTATATTTGTAGATTGTGGTTACATTATTCTTTATTTACGGATGTAAAAAATTTATTCTAATTCAAATTTGAGGATCTATGTGCACGCTAATTAACTTATGATTTTAGAAGCACAATACAACCCAAAATAAACATTGTCTTTGATGGCAATGCAAGACTCACCAGAATCATGATCTAACTTTGATATCTTTTCCTAATTTTCTCCTTGCCTCGTGGTTTTGAACACCATCGTATTGCTCTATCAATGGGATAGCTCTCATAACATAGAGATACAACAATGTCAGAGCATGATGCTTGATATTTTTAGTACACTATAAGTTTATATAATAATAAAATCCACAAGATTTAACAATGGGAAAAACTTTTCCCACCGGCCACCGGTTGATGTTTTTCATTCAGTTCGCCCCCTTTTCTTACAGCGAAATAACTGCAAGACCTTGCTGTCATTTTCATTCCATGATAGCCGGCGACGGAGGGCTCAATGTTCACTATGTTAGAACTAAAATCATAATAAATATGAAAATTAAGCAGGATTTAATCATGTCAAATTATCAACAATAAAATTCTAGACGCGGAATCGTACCTGAATTAATGATAGGTTGAAATCTTTTAAGTCTTTGGTTATGATCTTTCAAGAAGATAGAGTTCCTTAACTATAAACTCTTTGGATAATAGTAAATACGAGATTGTCTATTTCTTAGAGACGATAACCTCTTTATATAATTAATTTAAGAATCAATTATTGTTTGTACTTATAATTCTATACATAATCAAATTATAAACATAACTTTAATAGCATCTACACTTTTATTTTCGTAACACTTTTAATACCTTATGAATTTATAACATAATTGATCATTTAATTTATGATAAGAATATGTATTATAAATATCTGCTCATAATTATAGATTTTAATCCAACACACTATTAATGGTGTCGTTCTGTCATGGGATCTCGTAGTCAGGTGAGGTGTATGGCCAGAGTTTTACAGACCACACATCATCCATCGGTGTTCCGATCAACAAGCCACAGGAGCCTGCAAGTGCAACCCAGGACAGAACTCTGGAGCTCCAAAAAGCAATGGACATTATGGTTCTCTCAGGTCAGCCACCTCTGTTTTTTTCCTGTCAGCTCTATACCCTAAACAAAATCTTAAACGTTAAAACATTTAATGGATAAAAGAAAAAAGTTAATGTATTGATTTAATTACAAACCATACGTAATTAATTTTAATTTTCATCCTTCTTATTGAATAGCGAACAAAACTTTATTCATGTTTACAGAGGACTCCCCACATTCTAAAGTTCCAAAATCTCACAAAACTTTAGCCTCGGAAAAAATGCTCCTCTCCTGATTGTTGGTCGATATGCTTGATCCAAAGGCTAGAATTCTTCGTTGAACCCACAACTACAGCATCAGCCTCTATATGAGCAATATCTAATCCTTGCCCCACGGGTAGGTGCACAGATCTCACGACGCGTGTCCCTCTTTCAAGCACCCAATGCCATCTAAACCCAGAAATGGCCCTCCGACATGCATTCTTGCATGCCAAAACTGCACCCTTATTGCCCAGTTTAGCAAACCTTAAAACCCTAGCGAAGTCCTTCTGCTTTGAGTCAACAACAAGAAAGTCAACACCCACCAGCCCTTCCATCGCTTCTTGGGCTTTGCCGACGATCACCGCCGTGAATGATGATATCCCAGCTCCCTTCATGGCCTCGGCGTAACATGATCTCGACCGTTCATCCGGAACGATGCACACGTGCCTACCGCTCGTGTGATGAGCTGCAATGGCAAGGCCGACGCTGGTAGCTATGGGACTACCGTATGACCATGACTCCACGATCAGCTTTGTGTTCCAGCCTGCCGCCATGGCTGATAGGAACTCTGGTACGCCCGATTCTTTGAAATTTCGACACTGCAAACCAGTTAATGCAATCGGTATTAGAATAAGAGTAAAAGAAAACATAAAGCTATGAAAGTTAATGCAATCGGTATTAGCGTACTGATTTCACAGTGTCTGTGTAAGCTTTTGAAGCTGTTTCTGGAGACCAAACCAGCTTCATCGTTTCTCTAACAAGTTTTTGTGATGTTGTTGGAGTCTTGGGGAGAGAGGGAGAGAGAGAGGGAGAGAGAGAGAGAGATAGAGAAATGGTGGGCAGAGTTGGGTGTTGGGTTCAGCAGCTTTTTAATGGTTGAAAGCAGTGAACCTAACGCTCTTTATTTGAAGCAGCTGACATTCGGGAATTTAAAAAAACCTGTAGGTTAGCCAGGCTTACTCGCGCATAATACGTAGCTCTAGCACTATTATGATTAATAAAAGAGAGTGAACTTTTTCATACATCATTATTGTATTCAACTCTGATATTTGTCCTATTCTTTTTGGCTTTACGGCTCATTTTGAACTTTGAGCAGCACATAATAAAAGATACATTAAACACACACTAACCCAACAAAGAAGGATACACGGAACCCTAGCTATTATTAGACCACTACTTGAACTTCGATTTAGTTTCAATTTAACCAAAGAAAAATAAAATAAAACGGGATCCCACGTCTTAAACTGGATTAGATAATTAGATGAGAAAGATTAATATTTATGTTTGAAGTTGTGAATCAACTGGAGATTATAGTTGCTGATTTGATTTAGCAGCAGCAGCAATTTGATCATAGGTATGCCACGCGTATTTGACTTGCGAAAACTGTACTTTGCTTCCTCCCGACCTTATCTGTGCGTACGTTAACTACAACTATTTAAAACTATGGACCCACCAATTAAAATACGTTCTCTAGTTTTGAATGAGTCTTCAATAGACTACAAATGTACATTTTGATTTTCGAATGTACTACCGTACGCGAAGATGGTTGATGTTTTAAAAGCGAAGTTTTTGCGACAACATGAATATATTTATAGAATAGAGTTTTGGAGGGTACTAGTTGTCAATATTATTACATTTCGCGTTATTATATAAGAAAAACCTTAAAAAAACATTTATTGGATTAGTAATTTCAAACAATATTAATTAAAAAAATATCTATTAAACTGCACAAGTATGATTACCTCGCGTCCTACAAAATGCATGTCAAGGCCTCGCATTCTGTAGGGCGGTGGGAACCGTTTTTTCGTTGGGCCCGGAATTAGGCTTCGACTTAGGAAAATGAATTGGAGTCGCCACCGACCATTTATTTTAAAACAAATGGGTTGATCGGATACCCTATTTCTTACCTGATCTGCGTCTTTCCAGTGATATGTCGGATTCGGGAGTCGGTTACAGTCAAGGAAGGGTTAGCACCCTTGAACTGCCCTTTCGGTACTACGTAATTTCCAGCTGTCTTTAATTAAGAAAGTTGTAATTTTAAATTGAAAGGTAAAATAACGATATGGATTACTTACCTCTGATTGATTGAAATAAAGACCCTTAAAAGAAAAATGTTAGACTTGAAAAAATGCAAGTGAATAAAATAAAGAAAATAAAAACAAGTAAAACAAAAATAACAAAAGAAAATAATAATAGTAATAGTAAAATGAAAAAGAATAAAAAAATGAATATGCTAATAACTAAAGTTTCAAGAAGGAGAAAAATAAATCAAAATAAAATAATAAATTAAAAATAAGAATAAAAGATAAAATAAAATAAAATATAATAATAATAAAAAGTAAAGATAAAAATAAAATAAAAGAGAATATATAAAAAAACAAGTAAATATATATATATATATATGAGATAAAAATGATATATATATAAAAATATATAATAAATTGAAATATGGAAAATAATAGTAAAGTAATAGTAATAATAATAAGAATAAATAATAATATAAAAGGTATGCACATAATAAGATTTAATAAAATAAGGAAGAGAGAGAGAAAAGATAAAGAAGTAAAACAAATAAATATGTACACATAAATAAATATTAGGAAAATAAATTAAAAAAAATAGAAAAAGAAAAAACATATATAATATAAATAAGTATAATAAAAGGAAAATAAGAATATAAATAATAAAAATAATAGTGATAATAAAAATGAAAAAGGAAACAAAAACATATATATACATGTAATAACGTATTAATAAAATGACAAAGTAATTAATAAAATAAAAAGAAATGAGCAAATATGTATAGAATAATAATAGTAGTGACGGGATTAAAATGAAAGAAATGGAAATATGAGGCCAAATTTTGAATAAATATCCAAATGGGAATTCAATTTAGGGTCGAAATGAACTCATAAAAATTGAGAAGGACCAAAGGCGCAGTTCACTCCTTTTGAAGGCCAAAACACGCGGATCCAAGGCAATTTGGATCGGGTATTGTTTGGGTCGGAGGTCTGATGAATTCAGTATAAAGCTTAAAAAAATTAAAACCCCTCATTTGTTTGGTTTTAAAACGAGAGAGAGAGAGAGTCTTTAAACTCTCTCAACTCTCTCAGCGGAGGAGGGAAAGCCACTGCTTCCCGGCGAGTCCCACGCGGTCCTGACGGCGGCGCACGCGGTCAGAGTGAACCAAACACTCCAAACGAACCGTCTCTTTTCCCTTAACCCAAAGCTAAAGTCGGGTTAACCCAAAAAAACCTCCCTAGAACAGTAGATCTAGGTTTGATACCTTCGAAACCCAACTTTCCGACGACGAATGGTGGCTCCGACGAAGGTAAGACCCTTTGTTCTCTCTTTCTTTTATGATTTTCTCCTTGCTGTTGATGTTTGGCTCGACTGGTATTGGATTTTTTGGTATTTTTCTGTGTGATTCAAATGTATTTCGTGTATGTGTGTGAAAAAAAAAACCCTTGTATTTTGTATTGTCAACCTCTCCCTTTACAAATGGATGATTACATGCTTTTATAGGAATAAAAAATCCTATTTTTAGGTATTTGAAACCTAATCAATCTCTAACTCTTGTTGCTTTTCTTGTTGTGGTGGTTTATTGATGCTGATATCCCACACGACGCCAGCCGTTTCGGGACTGTTGGAGAGGAGTGCGGCGTGAGGGAACCTCGGGGGAACGTGCGGCGCGACTGGAACAAAACTAGGGTTTCCAAACCCTAGTTCACGTGTCTATCAGGTCTGGACCACTGGGGTGTTTTCGCTGGGCCTGCTAATTTGGGTCACGTGTTCAGGCCTGCACATGTAAAAACGAAATTAATAATATTATATAATATAAATATTATAATGACGAAAATCATGTGTTTACAGCTGCCCCTCTTTGCTAATTATCGTGTAACGAAAATAAAGCAAAGATTATGTCGCAACCGTCTTTCGGTTGGGCCCGGAATTGGGCTTCGACTTGAAAAATGTGGATTGTAGTCACCACCGATCATTTATTTAAAACAAATGGGTTGATCGGATACCCTATTTCTTACCTGATCTGCATCTTTCCAAAGATTTGTTGGGTTCGGGAGTCGGTTACGGTCAAAGAAGGATTAGCACCCTTGAACCGCCCTTTCGGTACTACGTAATTTTCAGTTGTCTTTAATTAAGAAAATTGCAAGTTAAATTAAAAGGTAAAATTTGATCCGAATTACTTACCCTTAATGAGTTTACGGAAATACCCTTAAAAAATAAGATTTTAAAAGAAAATAATAATAATAAAAGAAAGTAACAAAACTAAAGAAAAAAATAAAAATGAATTAGGGTTCGAAATTAAAAGCTAATTGAAGAAAAAATGAATCTGTGTGTATTTAAAATCAGGGGGACCGAAATGGGCATTAACCCACTGTAGAGGCAAAACACACGGATCCACACGACCCGTTTATAAAAATCAGAATAGTTTTTCAAAAAAACACAAGCTTCGGGGGCTAGATCTACAAAAATAGATCTCGAAAATGCCCCCGTTCATTGGCCAAAAACACTTCTCTCGGTTTTCTTTCGAATAAAACACAACAAGGGTAAGGAAAAATAACATGCGAAAGTATGAACTTTACCTTTCAAAATATAAATGCTTCGAAAAATGGCTACGAGTTGCTTGTAATTTTTTGCTTGGTATTTCGTATCTCTTCCGAATGTGTTACAATAGTGAGTTACAATGACTATTTATAATGCTTGTGGATCCTATCTTTAGGAGTTTAAATAATAGTAGAACTCTATCATATTTTTAGGAGTTTGAATCCTAGCAAAATTCTATCATATTTTTAGGAGTTTGAATCCTAGTAGGACGAAAAGGTGTGTTGACAACTGCCCCTCTTTGCCCATAGTCGTGTAACGGGGATAGGGCAAAGATTAAAAGACACTTTTCGTTCAGTGGAGTTGAAAATTGACTCTGATGTTTCAATAACTCCCTGTCGAATTGAGTTACGGATGACTCCTCCATCGTGAAGTCGAGTTCATCTTGAAATGATATGAAATTGAAGCCGTAGTTCGGAATTTGAATCAGCACGTGGCTTCCCGTTGCCCTTCGGTCTTCTTCTCGGTTTAAAGACCTTGGATCGGAATCAAACTCAAAAATCTTCATTGACAGATAGCTTTTTCTTGACTTAAGCTATGCTGCTTGAAAATGGTTGCTTGTCACTCAGGCACGGCTAACCTAGGTCCTCTTCTCGACTTGAAAACCTCGACTGCAACCAGAAAGTAGTGCGATTGATGTGTCATCGAGCTGAATGGAATCAAACTCGACAATTTTGATGGCAGATAACCCTTCTAGCCTTGAGTTATGCTGTAAATGATGTGCCTTGGGGCTGAGCGTAGTCGAGCTCGAAGGTCTTTGTTGACAGATAATCCTTCTTTGAGTTAGATATCCCTCGTCGTGAAGTTAAAATCCAATCTAAAGATGGATGATGCTTGTGTGCACGATTCCCTTCGTCGTGAAGTTGAAACCGTGGGTGGCCCCTTCGTCGTGAAGTTGAGCCTGGAATTGGATATCCTTCGTCGTGAAGTTGAAATCCAAGTAAGTAGCATTGTTCCGAGTCCAATATCCTCCGTCGTGAAGTTGAAATTGGCTCTGGAATCGGGAAATTGTTTGTTGACAACCAGCGTCCCTTCGTTGTGAAGTTGAACTTGTGTTGTCTCGAATCCAATATCCTTTGTTGTGAAGTTGAAATTGGCTCCGAAATTGGGAAATTGTTTGTTGACAACCAGCGGTCCCTTCGTCGTGAAGTTGAACTTGCGTTGTCTCGAGTCCAATATCCTTCGCTGTGAAGTTGAAATTAACTATGAAATTGGGAAGTTGTTTGTTGA